TTTCTCGATTCCTTTATTCTACTCGGGATTTAATTTTTTAAATACCCCAGATTTTACAAAGTGCGGCAGTAGAATAAAAAACTGGAGTTTCTTTTCATACAAACTTATTTATTTGGATTTTTTTTTATATTTCAAATTATCGATACATACAAAGAGTAATTTTAATCTCTATAATTTTTGCTAACCGTGTCGAGTCACACTCGACATCCGAGTGCAAAAGGTTAAACCACGAAAAGGCATGCAGAAAACTTAAATGTGTATCACTAACTGAAAGAAGCCAATATGAAATGCTTATGTATGTATTATATAACGTATGATTGCATCTCTATGACATTCTGGAAAAGGCAAATCTATGAGGAGAGTAAAAGGACCAGTGGTTGCCTGGGGTTGGGGGAGGGAGAGATGAGTACACGGAGCGTGGAGAATCTGTAGGGCTGTGAAACTAGTCTGTAAGACATGGTAACAATGGATACAGTGTCATTATATGGTGTCATTATACCTTTGTCCAAACCTATAGAACGTATGATACCAAGAGTGAACCCTGACGTGAACTGTGGACTCTGGGTGACAGTGACGAGTCAGTGTAGGTTCATCGGGTACAACAAACACGCCACTCTGGGGGAGGGGACGTTGATAATGGGGAGGTTGTGCCTGTGTAGGGGCAGGGGGTAAAAGGGAAGTCTGCGTACCTTGCACTCAGTTTTGCTATGAACCTAAAACTTCTCTAAAAAACAAAGTGTGTTCATAATAAACAATAAAAGATTCGACTATGGATTATTTGCAGGGAGTGGAAAAAGGATGGCATTAGACAATCCACCAATTAGGTGATCAGTCCTCAGAGTTCAGGAGGACATGGAGTCTTGAGTTCTGTTAATTAGACTGTGCACTCACTTTCCTCACTGCCCAGACAAGGTATTTCCTGTTTTGGGCAGTGACCCCACCATGGACCTGGTCACCGGTTGGGATTCTCTGAAGCGGACCTCAGACCTTCCCTCCCCTTCCATCCCATGGCCTGTCAGACAGCAAATCCTCTTGGTCTCCCCTTCCAAATGCGTTGCTGTTACTGTTTGGTTCTTGTTTTGTTTTCAAACATTGCTATGGATTGAATTGTACCTCAGAAGTGACTGTCTTTGAAACTAGGGTCCTTATAGAGGTAATCAAGTTAAAATGAGGTCAGTAGGGTGGGACCTAATCCAACAGGACCAGTTTGCTTATGAAAAGGGGGACTTGGACACAGAGACACGCACACAGAAGGAAGACTCTGTGAAGACCTGAGGGAGAAGATGGCCGCCTGTCAGCCAAGGAGAGAGGCCGGGAACAGATCCTCCCCTCACGGCCCTCAGAAGGAACCTACCCGGCCCCACCTTGATCGAGGGAGAGGACTGCTGAGACACTGTTGGACCTGTCCAATCACATGTTACTGGGGCCCTTCAGGAAGGGAATCAGTCGTGTGGACAAAAATCCACTTGCGAGAGTTACGGCGTATGAGAAAGTTTAAGCTGTTATTTGAGGGTGTTGAAAAGTATAGAAAAAGCTTCCTTTTTTTTTTTTTTTTTTTTTTAGGACGGGAAACATAAGGAATTTATTAATACAAAGATAAGGAATCTACAGGAGTGGATAGATTAATAGAAGAGGGATAATTAATGTGATTTGCTTTCTTTATAGAAGGCAGAGGAGGTTAATTTTCTCAGCAAATATTTCTTAATAACATATTTAGGAATTCTGTGGAGAACGCACAGCACATGGATTTCCCTCAAGGAATTTGACACCTGGATGTGTCGTGGCACCCACAGTCCACTTGGGCAGAGGGGGCAAGCGGTAATGTCGTATAGCGTGCCTTGTGTTGTTTCTGTTATGTTTCTTGTGACACTTACGGTTACCTTATCTTGTTACTGTTACAGTATGTTTGTTACTCAGCACTGTTCACGCTGCCCCGTTGAGTCCTTCCTCTGCTCACCTTTTACTTTCCTACCTATGCTAACAGAATCTGTTTCTGTGTCAGAGATGCTCGTATCACGCTGCCCTTGACCATGACAGCAGGGTGACCATGGAGCAGACTGTGGAAAATGTTTCTGAGAAACCAAATAACAAAAGCGGGATATAAAATAATATATAAAATTATTTGCAGTTTTTACAATTATGAGTATGAAGACGTATAAAAGAATTCGTCAAAGTGACAAAACCAGTTGTATTAGGGTGGTGGAATTGTGGATGAGTTTTTTTTCACTGATCTAGAATCAAAATTTTATTTAGTGTGCTTTTCCAAGCAAACTTTTTGTTTTAGAATAGTTTTAGATGTATAGAAAATTAGAGAAGATAGCATACAGAATTCCTACACACCATACACCCAGTTTCTCTTATTATTAACATACTACATTAGTATGATACTTGTGTCACAACTAAATGAGTCAATAACTTAATATAGTTTCTAAAACTTAAAAAAAAAACCTTGTTTTGTAAAACCAAATAAACAACAATAGAGAAAAAATGTCATTCTTGCCATAACCTCTAACTCTAACTTAGCACCCTAATATTTATTATTTTCCTTATTTTTATTTTATGACTTCAGACTCCTTTTGGAATGGGTCCTTGGCTACAAACTGGAACACATTTTTGCTTTACCATCATTTGCCATATGCTTACACATACAGTTAAAGTGGTTAAAACTCCATTGATTGAGAAAGGTCCCAGGAAATGTTTACGATTTAAATATCTGAGCTTTACTCACATTCTAAGATCTGTGTGTGCACTGCCTCTCCAAAAAGCCTGTATTTTATCTCTCTCCTCCTCCTCCTGTCTTTTTATAATGTCCATGAATTCCCAGTCCAGATCTGTTCTCAGAATATATGCTCAATAAATACCAGTTGTAATTCATTGTGGGAGTAGAATAGTTCTAGTTGATGGAGTATGGATTTTAAATGACTAGAAGTAAAGGATTCTTTATGAAATTCTGTCTGAGCCAGGAGCAGTGGCATACACCTGTGGTCCCAGCTACTCTGGAGGCTGAAGCGGGAGGATCGCTTGAGCCCAGGAGTTCAAGCCTGCAGTGAGCTACGATTGCACCTCAGCATTCCAGCCTGGGCAACAAAGTGAGACCTTGTCTCTAAGAAGAATTAAAAAGAAATTCTGTCTGAGATGTCAGACTTTAATTCTTGACACTAGGATACTACAGTGTTTTTCCTCTGCATCAATCAAAGAAAGGAAGCTGAAATTAAGCCTTAGTAGAAGTGGATTTTAGTTCTTAAAGTATAAAAATCACTGCAAGGGCAGTTAATAAATATTCTAAAGACCCTATTTCCAGCTTGCTCTTAATGTTTGAACTACAGAAAATGGAGTGTGGGGTTTTTTTTCTTCTAAACAATTCTTCCCTAGTGAGTTTTCTTTGTTCTAACTGCCAAGTTGGTTTCAAAGAATCTTTCTGAGTATTAGCAGTTAAAGCAAATCCTATAGATTATACAAAGAAAAAACCAACTGAAGTAGCTATAGTCTTACTTTTTATAGGAATAGAAGACACTCTGTTTTAAAATAGAACTTAAAAAATCTTAACTAGATCTGTCCCACCCTTTTTTAGTTGATAAATATATTTTCATCTTTTAGGTTAGCGTTTAATTAATATGCCAGAATTATAACACCAAAATTAGGAAAAATGCCGAACAGTGTGCTAATGTGTATTTTGTGCCTAATCTTAAGTGGTTTTGGAAAATCCCTAAGAGTCAACTAAATGAACAGTGTAGCATTCTTTTATCTTCAAGAGAGTCTACACGTTGCAAACACTGTGAGGAGCAAAATTTTGTTAAAGAAATTAGAATTACAAGAAAGGAAAAATGTATACTTTCAGTTTATTAAAACAGTTTAAATGCAGTCAGTGCAGAAGCCAATCATTAGATTATAATTCCAAGGAAAAAGAGTAAGAGTTAGATACTCACAGTCCATTATTGGAGATTCCCCAAAATAAATTTAAAAATAGTACCACTGACAGTTTTCAAGAGTTGTGTGTCATAATTAAAATTGGTTATTTTATCAACTATTGTGTAGCTTTGCTTTGTTACAGAGGTGATTTGAAAACCCAGAGATACAACTATTAAAGTTTTATTACAGATTGATGTTTTTAAAGCAAGATTAAACAAAACTTTGTTTAAAATTAACTTGGTGTTATAGAAAGAGGAGAACCGAACCAGTCTATTTTGAGGCAAGACATGGTTTTTGAGACATTTAACATGTTAAATAGAGCTTAGCACATGTGAGGTATTGTGCAATTTTGCTAATGAGCTTTGAGTAAGTGAACAGAGGTGGACTTGTCAGTACAAGAATGAACTGAAACACATGGTGACCCAGGGAAGCCTCTGGAAGGATGTCCATCAAAAGGTGAACAGTGGAATGACAGGCAATTCTCTCTCTCTCTCTCTCTCTCTATATATATATATATATATATACACATATATATATATTGTATAATCTTAACTTTAAAATAATAAACATTCTTTTATAACTATAACACAATAAACACATCTGCTTTTTAAAAAAAGACAATAGAAATAATATGTCAAAGTTCGATATGTGCTATCCAAAGTAAATAAAGATTTCATAAACCATTACAAAAATGTTATTAGAGTATCTAGTTTTATTGTGTCTTAAAAAAATATTTTAAGCATCCACAGCATACCAACTGCAAGAGAAAGAAAGCAACCCTCCTTTCTAACTCACTAGCATTGGCCTTCTGTTCTTAACCGTAGGTAAGTATTTCTTTCAAAGAATAGACTAAAGCTATCACTTTAGTGACAGCTAAAGAATAGACTAAAGCTATCTAAAGTTATTAGAAGTAACAAAAGTTCTATAGATATGCTACCTTACTGTGATGCTTAGAGATCATTTTCAAACTTATTATCTGGAAATCGTGTTCTTCATTCTTTATTTTTAAACCTCTATAAGATACTCCCTCCAAACTTCCAGGTGGATTATCACGTGTCTAAGGGTAAAAATATAGTTGAAATTATTCTTACCTGATGTTGCATATCAGAATTTGGTGGGCAGGTCAAGGTAACTGTATCACACTCCTCAGCTGGGGGGGGGGGAGAAACAAAATTTGATGAAGAAAGCACACCCCTTGCGGTGTTAAGACCTAAAATTAAGGTGACATATCAGGTGCTGCCTTGATATCTAGTAAAATCAGGAGGGCCCAACTGCAAATTTCCCCACCACCTCTGCTCCCAAGGATAAAAATCCCTTGCTAAACAATGCTCCTTGTCAGGGATTAGGCACAAGTCCTGCTTATCTTGGAGAAGCAGGTTTCAGTTTCCTGCCAGCTGTGGAATTATTCAAACAGGCCAATCATGTCCTCCAGTGGGAACCAGGGGGCAACCCACACTTTTGATACTACAATGCTTGTCTCACCTGGCCCGTGGCTGTTCCCTCCGTTCCCGTGTGGCCTTGTGTGGCATGCAGTGTCCTCCTCCCCCGAGCTTGAGTATATATATGTGACTCCGAAGCTGCTGTTGATCCCATCTACCTGGTGTCAGTGTGTGTGTTTGGCTATCTCCATAATCCAAGCACAGGATTCTTCCCTTACCAATGGGGTGAGGGGGAGGTGATCAAAACTGGCATCTAGGCTGGGCGAGGTGGCTCACACCTGTAATCCTAGCACTCTGGGAGGCTGAGGCGGGAGGACTGCTTGAGCTCAGGAGCTGGAGACCAGCCTGAGCAAGACCGAGACCCCGTCTCTACTAAATAGAAAGAAATTAGCCAAACAACTAAAGATAGAAAAAATTAGGCGGGCATGGTGGTGTGCACCTGTAGTCCCAGCTACCCGGGAGGCTGAGGCAAGAGGATCTCTTGAGCCTAGGAGTTGGAGGTTGCTGTGAGCTAGGCTGATGCACGGCACTCTAGCTTGGGCAACAGAGTGAGACTCTGTGTCAAAAAAAAACAAAAAAACTGGCATCATGAACTGAGTGACCCAACCACGATAGGGGACATTTGGCACATTTACTTAACTGCTCCTGGCTAACTTCACTGATGACGGTATAGGCTGCCTGGGATGGAGCTGCCAACTGCCGGTAGACTTGCACTTTGGCCTGTACACTGCTGTGTTGTCTTTGTTGGGCGTTTGCTATCTCTTCCCACCTCCCAGCCCAAGATGAAAACTGTTGTGACTTACAACCATGACTCAAGCATTAGAAAAGTGATCCATGTAACCAAAAATATTTGTGCCCCTGTAATACTTTGAAATTAAAAAAAAAAAAGAAAACAAAACAAAAGTGTTGTGGGCCGGGCGCGGTGGCTCATGCCTGTAATCCTAGCACTCTGGGAGGCCGAGGCGGGTAGAATGCTCAAGGTCAGGAGTTCAAAACCAGCCTGAGCAAGAGCGAGACCCCGTCTCTACTATATAGAAGAAAATTATTGGGCCACTAACATATATATATTTGTGTGGTATATATATATATTAATATATATATATTATGTATGTGTTAATATAATATATACACATATATTTCAAAAAAATTAGCCGGGCATGGTGGCACATGCCTGTAGTCCCAGCTACTCGGGAGGCTGAGGCAGGAGGATCACTGGAGCCCAGGAGTTTGAGGTTGCTGTGAGCTAGGCTGATGCCACGGCACTGTAGCCTGGGCAACGGAGTGAGACTCAGTCTCAAAAAAAAAAAAAAAAAGAAAGAAAGAAAGAAAAGTGTTGTGAACCACCGAGACTCTGGCGAGGCGTGCTGTCGGGTTGGGCTGGGGACGCCCACCTGGGAGGGCGGTGGCAGCGCAGCACCCACCAGCTGCTGCCTGAGTCCTACGTATCCAGGCTCAAGCGAGAGCACCCTGAGCACTGCATCTAGCCTGGTGACACCACTGGCCACATGGGGCAGACACACAGACATTTTTGGTGAGTGTGCACCACAGGGACAGGCGTGGGGACAGCCCTCTGTGAAATGCGCAGAAAGGAAGGAAACCACCACCCCAGGGGGGAATTCCACCCTGGCTGCCAGTGCTCAGGCAAGAGCAGTGACCTGCCTGTCCCCTACACCGCTGCTTCCCCTTCTGCGGCCCTGACTTCCCAGGGCAGGAGGTGCACAGCCGTGGCAGGTGGTGGCCCAGGCTCTGACGAAGAAAGAAAACGGGAAGAGGCGTTTCGGTGCACCCGGCTTTGCTTAGTGCTGCTGCTCTCGGCAGGGCAGAGGGCAGATCTCATCACTGTGGGGCTCAGTGCCTCCTCACCCCCGGGCCTCAGACAAAACCACCTGACTGGACGTGGTGAACCCTGACCCCAGGGAGGCTGACCAACACTCCCTGGAGGAAGAGGCGCTGCCTATGAGGTGAGTCACCGGCTCCCTAAGCCTTTCCCCATTAACCACTCAGAAGGTCCCCGTCATGGATGATCAGATGGAGACCTTTATGTGGCTAAAAAGCCAAAAGATCTGGAGAGACTTTGTACGGGAATGGGAAAAAAATCCATAAAATAATTATTCATTCTTAAAAATCCCATGTGGCAGAAGAGACAGGGCCATAGTGGAGCTTGGTTTCAGCCCATCAGCCTCTGGGGCGTGGGCCCAGCACTCTGCTGCTCATGCCCCGGCTGCAACCAAGACGCCGTCCTCGGAGTTATAGGGAAAGCCCCAGAGCCCGTGGGGCACGGTTAAGGGCTTGATGCAAAGGTGATGTAAGCCCCTGTCCTTAAACCACACGGGTGCATGTGAGCTACCACAGGGAAGGACCTCAACCCTGACCATCCCGGCCTAAGGCTCTCTGGAGGAGGAAGTGTGCAAACATGAGCACGGCAGAGAAGACTGCCTCCCCCTTCCCAAATATATTCAGGGACAAAAAAAAAAATAGGGAATAACAAAAAGATAGAAAGAAACCTGGATATAGGAGAGGAGATAAAAGAAATAAAGAAAAAAACTGAAACAGAGCTCCACACTTTGACCCACTTGGAAATCCAAAATTCACTAAAATAACTTAAATAGCAAAAAGACACAAGAGTGCAGATTGGCTTTGTGTCCTACAACATAGGTTTTGAATTAATTTTAACAACTGCTAAAATGTACTAATTGGCAAATCTTCGTGGACTTAATCAGCACTGTGGCTCGAATTACAATTATATCTGGAAGTGCCACTAAATGTAAACATGGTACCCCCTATAATCTTAGGGAAGGTATTGAATATAAAATAAAGGACAAATAAACACACCTCACCCTAATCATCAGAACTATTGTTTTTCCTATATTTCCCATGGTCATGGCACCCACTGTCCTAAAATATCTTACTGTGGGCCTGGGTGCTCACTAAATTATTAAGTTTTGGCAATTACAAGTTGGCTTAACTAAATGAGACCCTATGGATCCCCAAGTTAAAATAATTAATATGCATGGCCTAATGTAAATTGAAACAAAGCCTTCAAAGATCAAAAGGTATTGTGTAAGACCTAATTAGTAGGGTGGGAGCGATGGTTCACGCCTGTAATCGTGGCACTTTGGGAGGCCGAGGCAGGAGGATTATTGAGGCCAAGAGTTTGAAACCAGCCCAAGCAAGGGTGAGACCCCATCTCTACAAAATATAAAAAAATTAGTCTGGTGTGATGGCATGCACCTGTAGTCCCAGCTACTCGGGAGGCTGAGGCATGACGATCACTTGAGCCCAGGAGTTTGAGGTTGCTGTGAGCCAGATGATGCTACTGCACTCTGACCTGGGCAACAGAGTCAGACCCTGTCTCAAAAACACAATGACTTAATGAGCGAAAGAGTGGTTATCTCAGCTGCTTCTCCATTTAGCAGCCTAATTGGGCCGATTCTTAAACTTGGAAAAAAATGAATGGTGCTTCATGGTAGATTAAGCTGCAACCGTACTGCTGTGGTCCCATCCCTGAAGGCTCCCATACTCAAGGCCCGATATGACTGAAATTATGGACTCCGTCCAATCAGCAACCACTAAATATTTTGCTACGACAGATTTGGTTAATATGTTCTGTTGGGTGCCTATTTCAGCAGCCTCTCAGTAGAAGTCTGCCTTCACCTCCAAAGGGACACTCCAACAGCCTCGCCACCACACACGAGCTCTGCAGGCAAGATCTAACTGCATCCGACCTCCTCAGGATCCTGGGATAACACCACATGGGTGACTTCCCCCTCTGAAGACATGCATTCAACACACTCATCCAGGCCCTGCAAATACAGTCATCACAAAACGCTCACGAGAGCCTCGCTACTGCAAACGCTCTTGCTCCTACAACGCCTCCCCGGCACGGTCCCTGGTTGTGTGCTCTGTTCCCCGTGCGAGCCCACGTGGCCCTGCGTGGTATGCGGTACCCTCCTCCTCTGGGCTATGGATACAGGTGACTCATAAACTGCCTCCCTCTCGTCTACCCTGTGTCGGGTGTCATGTGTCATCCCCATGACCCTAAGATGGGATCCCCTTCTTACCAATGGAGCAAAGAGAACGCAGTCAAAACACATTCTCCCGCGATTAACAGTACATCAAATTCCACCACGTTCATTCACTGGTCTGTCATCGTACTAAGCCTTCCAGACAGCAGAGCGGGATTCTGCTTGTCCTGATAGCTCACCTCCCTAAAGGTCAAACCCAAACCATCCCCGTTCTATTGTTACAGTTCAAGTTTAACAAGGTTTAAACTGATGGCAGTGAAAGGCAAAGGAACTTGCAATGCATGTTAAAAGTTGAGCATCTTTCAAAATGAACAGTCTGGAAAGGATTTCACTCGTGGGTTGTTTTACACATGTGTTAACTTCACAGTTTCCCTACTTGTGGTACAGATTGTACAAAATGTGTTAAAAACTCATTTTGTTCCATCAGATTCTAATCGTTAGTCACAGAATTCAAGGCTACTCTGGAAACTTGAAAGTTGACAGACATACAGTATGTTTTAAAGGAAATTTTTAGCATCATGAGTTAGCATTTTAGAGTTATAAAGCTTTAAATATAGAACCGTTTAATTCGGGGTTCAAAAGCCAGGGTGAAGCGAGGGATTGAATGATTCACCTATTTATTTTTTACATCCATGAACATTCATTTGTCTATTAATGAGCTGGGCTACTAGATTTGTTCAAATAAGGGACTATGTATATTCATTATCTCACACAATTCTGGAGTAAATAACTTTTTTTCTTAATAATATTATCTAAGAAATTTAAACTAAAAGCAACCTCAGTCTTTTACTGAGGTTCTGTATGGTATCTTTTTAAAGCTAGAGTGGTGGTCACCTGGCCTAAGCTTGTTTCTCCCAATCGAGCCCCGGCTCTTCTGCACCTACGTTACCTGAGCTGCTGGTCAACAATGCAGATCGCTGGACCCCACCCCAGACCCCCTAGACTGGAATTTCAGGGAGGTTGAGGCAATCCTCCTGCCTCAGCCTCCCGAGTAGCTGGGACTAGGGGGTCTGGGACCCCACCCCAGACCCCCTAGACTGGAATCTCGGGAGGCTGAGGCAATCCTCCTGCCTCAGCCTCCTGAGTAGCTGGGACTACAGGCATGCGCCACCATGCCCAGCTAATTTTTTCTATATATATTAGTTGGCCAATTAATTTCTTTCTATTTATAGTAGAGATGGGGTCTCGCTCTTGTTCAGGCTAGTTTTGAACTCCTGACCTTGAGCAATCCACCCACCTCAGCCTCCCAGAGAGCTAGGATTACAGGCGTGAGCCACCGCGCCCCGCTAACCCAGTTTCTTTTAAGTGTTTTTTTTTTTTTTTTTTTTTTTTACCTCCAATACAAGAACTTGAATTAAATAGCCATTTTTCTTATATGGTACTCCGAATGCTGCTGTGGTCCTATCCCTCTCTCTCCCCACCGCACTCCTTTACACAAAAGGAAAAAAAAATTTGGAGTATGGTCACCTTTACATTCTTGTCATAATTGGGGGGAGGGGTGGTGATTTTTTGGTTCATTGTAACAGAAGATTCCCAAGAGGGTCTCTGTCAAGAGGTTGGAAGTGTATTTATGGAACAAACGGGATGAGGACATGTGGCGAATAATACAGGTGGGAGGGATGGTTAGTTTCCTGTTAGAACAGGGACACTTTTTAATAAGACATCACTGGCAATCTGCAAGGTGGGAAATCACATAAAATACAATGTATTGGCTTGCTACAGGGGAGACATTTTTACTTTTGAATTATTTAGTCATTTCCTTAGTATTTGCTTATTTTCCCTTCACATGTTCAAACTGAACTACTACTTTTAATATTTAATTAACAGATTGTTCTAAAAGGCCCCCCAAATAGTATCTATGCTTAAGTTCAAATTCCTCAGGATTCTTAACAGTAGAATCAGTTTACTTTATTTCTCTTTAACTTTTAAATTGACTACACCATTTTTTGAACAATAATAGAAAAGAGCAGGAACGCTAGAGAAAATGAAGATGCTAAAATCTTGATGGATCGGTGTGAGTACCTATCTATGTGCAATTTTCTCCCACTATGAACCAAAATCAAAATTCAAAAATCAAAAATTCTTTTTCCGGGCCCAGATCGGTGGCTCACGCCTGTAATCCTAGCACTCTGGGAGGCCAAGGCAGGCGGATTGCTCAAGGTCAGGAGTTCGAAACCAGCCTGAGCAAGAGCAAGACCCCGTCTCTACTATAAATAGAAACAAATTAATTGGCCAACTAATATATATAGAAAAAATTAGCCGGGCATGGTGGCGCGTGCCTGTAGTCCCAGCTACTCGGGAGGCTGAGGCAGGAGGATTGCTTGAGCCCAGGAGTCTGAGGTTGCTGTGAGCTAGGCTGACGCCACGGCACTCACTCTAGCCTGGGCAACAAAGCGAGACTCTGTCTCAAAAAAAAAAAAAAAAAATTCTTTTTCCAAACACATTTTTCTCTTTAAACGTAAAGAGTTCACATTCTCTTAAGAATACTCAAGCAAGCAGCTTCTATGAGATATCAGGAATTATGTGACATAAAACACACCATAATCTCATGTTAGTCCTGACTTTAGTATCTTCAGACTCAGAGCAGCTATCAGCAAAAAGGCCCCACTAATGAACCCTCTGAACTCTCTGAACTCAGGGGGTGGCTGACTCAGGGGGAAGCTATGCATTTGTCCTTGATGAGAAAATAGGGACAACATTAACACATGTCACCTCAAAAACAGATGCCTATCGCTGAAAATGACACTACGTTTCCTCAGTTGATTATTAAAACCACATTATTCAAAACCACTCAAGTTTGGCCCATGTTAAAGTATAGGTTTAATTATGCTCCATGAATAAAGTAGGAATATAATGGCAGCATAAAAAAGATTTTGTGAAATATACTTAATCTGCTTAAGAAAATAGATTTTGAGGACTTTTTAACCATATAGAAATTAACATTAATTACAAATGATTCCTCTATTAAGTAAAGTTGACCCCACTAAAACTCACTTAAATGTTGGGGTCCTAGTTTGTACTTAGTCTCTTCACAAATTTATGTGGATTTTCTTTCCCCAAAAAAACAACTTTAATGAGAAAATTACCATAAATTGCTAATGATGGGACTGGCCCTATTAGTGATGTTAAAGAAAAATGCTAGTAGACATTAAATTGTTATATTATTAAATTCAAATATTGGAGTAAGTTTTTAAACTTCTAGCCATGGTTCATTTACATATAAAATATATTTATTCAGAGATAGGAAATTATGTGCTTAATAATACTGTTTAGTCTAGTATGTCCCTTGATCTAAGAAAAAAAATACTGTTCACCATGACTAAGGACAAAGGAATAGTCTAGGGTACGGTTTTCATAGTCATGTGACTTGCAAACTCATAACAGTGTTAATTAAGGTTTTGTAGAACTCAAATTCTAGGGGAAACCTGAATTGTAAGTTACTGTACTATCAGTTTGCTAAGCAACAATCTTTTTTGTTCAAAACAGGAAACCACATTCAGGGGTGATTTAAAAAAGAAAATTTTGAGCTAGACTGCACCATGATTTTTCACAATTCTTTGGCCAGATTTCCCTCCACCCCTGTCTGGGGCTCATGTGTGCCAGGCACCATTCTAGACTCATTTCTTTGAAGTCTCACGAGCACCCTGGGAGGTAGATGTTAACATGTCCTTCCACTGCGCTGATGAGAAAAGTGGGACCCTGGGACCTGAAGTCACTTGCTGAGGCCACTCAGAGCCAGGCAGTTCAGCTGCTGTTGCCTTGAAGCCTCCTAGGCAGGTTCTCAAAGTGGGGTCTGCATCCCGACCACACAGGTGTGAGTTAACAGGCAGAGCCTTGGGCCTAATCCCAGATCAACCAAATCACGATTTGGGGGGCAGTGGGGCCCAGGATCTATACTTTAAACATGCTCCCATGATGATGCTTCTTCACACTGACATTAAGGACCACTGCCCAAGACTGCCTCTGATCTGTCCCTGTTACCTTCTGCTCTCCTGCTGAAACGGGGAGTCCCAGAGTGGCGGATGCAGAAGACTTAAAGGTCATTCGTGGAGAGGGCAAAGGGAAGAGAGCTTGCCAGAAGCCTCCCCTAGTACAGCCAGGGTCTGGACTCAAACCTGGCCTCAGGCTCTTTTCCCTACACAACTACCACTCCAGGGACAGGCACAGGACAGAAGAGGAATGACTCTCTAATGGTGTCATTTCAGGGAGCAGGGAGAAGAGTCTAGAGTAGGGGGAGGAAGAAAAAGGAGAGCTTTGGTCAAACCCTGGACTTAACCACAGGTTGGCCCTGGCAGGGAGCTCCCCGTGATCACCCGCTACCACAGGAACCACTGGGGAAACCCATGTCAGCATGTGCTGGGCAGGCCCACCTATCCACAGTGACCAGGAAGCCGGATGCCCCTGGCGTCTCCAATGCTGGTCAGATCAGACTGCTGTCTCCACCCTCACCCCATCCCCACCCCTCATCTCTGGGCTGTCACTAGAATACAAGGTAGATGCCCCATTGTGACAACCAGCAGCTTGGCCTTCACAATGGAACACAGCCTGGCACCACCACGCCAGGCCAATTTTTCTATTTTCTTGTAGAGACATGGTCTTGTTCTTGCTCAGGCAAGTCTTGAACTCCTGACCTCAAGCAATCCTCCTGCCTTGGGCTCCCAGAGTCCTAGGATTACAGGAGTGAGCCACCGCGCCCAGCCCCTGTTAGGAACTTAATATATGATTTGTCATGAAATAATTTGCAGATTTTACTAAGAAAGTTCATTTCTAAGATAATCATGTAACAAATCATGAGTTAAATTATCACTGTGTTTCTGTTTTGCAATTTTAATGAAAAATTACTTTGACTAGTGCTTTAGTCAAGTTATTAAAATAATCACAAGTTCAAATAGTTATATTACCTGTACATACCTTTAGGGAGTCCCGTATCTTGAATGGGATATTTGTCTGACTGTAGAAAGCAACAAAAGAGAAGAGTTATTTTTAAATGCCATAGTCAATTCTAAGATCCAAGTGAAAGGAAAGCTTTGTCTTGGGAAAGTCATGCTTTCAATGAAAAACCTTGGAAATGTTTAGCCTCAAACTTATCCAGTTGGCATGATCCATTGATTGTTTTTATTCTCAACTGATAATCATGAAATCAAGGTCCACAGGAAGTTAATTCTGGAAGATGAAATAGAATCAGCCGTCCAGCTTTCCTCAGCTCTAACCACTAAACAACACTTCCGCTCTTTTCTACAGCGCTAGTCTCCTGCAGTTTAAAATTGAGAAGAATTTGTTTTCATAAATTATAAGGATAGACCCATTTCTTCTCATCATTTCTGTGACAGTCATTTGGGTCAATAAGCATGTGTTCTGGGCAATACTTGCTATTACAGAGCTCTGTCCTGAGTTGGATACGATGGGACTCAAAAATAACTGTCTTGTTGATTGCACACAGATCTAAAAATCAGTTAGCAATTATGCACAGTTACGAACAGTTTCTCAATGCATTAGTTGAGGGTAATACTGTCACAAGGAATCCAAATTAACGAATGCTCTTACAATCACACATCTTTTAATTTGTTCTTACTTATATGCAGGTTTCTAGTGTTCTAGAAACTTATTCCAGATTAAACAATGCAGCCATTCTCTGAAGACGTTCACGCGAGGAGGGAGAATGTGCCCAGTTTCCCAGCCTGTCCCCTACGTCCTGCTTGGCTCCCATTCTACACTCGGCTCCTGTCCTCTAGCCTGAACAAAGTTATATCTTGCCTATTTCCGGTAGGTCTTGCCCATGTCTTCGTTTGTCAGAGAAGAAAAATAAACAAATGTGGACGGTTTTGTTTTAAATGCCTTTTTCTTGGAGTTCCTTTGGAGCAGGGCGGTAAGGTTTCAGAAACTCTAAAAGCCTCTAACTACTTCCCAACGCAAATAAGTAAATAAAAATCAATCAACCACAGAAAACTTCATAGTCTATCCCAGATTAAATTAGTTCTTCTCATCGTTGTACTCCCAAGAGCATGGAACCCAGACCTGTACTATAACACTTGTCGGGCTGTTTTTAAAAGTATTTGTCTATTTCCTCAGATATATATACTGTGGGTTTTTCCAGAGATGGGAGCATGAGCTTTGTATCTCCGGGTTTTGATGTGGTGTTAACATCCACGGAAAGTCTGCATGGACGAGCACACAGGCTGGAGCAGGTGCAGGGCTCCCAGAGCAACTGACGGCTTGAGCTAAGCCTAGAGGATGCCCTCGACTCAGAACCACCAAAAGGAAGGAGCAAGCTGTTTGCAGATGGCGGACACAGCAGGAGCGGATGCCAGGTGGCTGGAAGAGCTGCAGGTATAAAAGACCCATCAGGCCGAAGCGGTGATGTCTGCTGTAGAAGGACGGAGGAAGGCAAGGCTGGATGAGAAATGATGGAAGCTGTTTCTAAGAAAGACCATGAAAGCTGGCAAAGGGATTTAGGTGGGATGCCGTTCTAGGTTTTTGGGAAGCATGGCTCATCAAGCATCTGCTGCTACCTGCCTTGTGCCCAGCTCTGCGCATGGGAAGATGGCCAACACAGTCTTGAGGGAAGTCGGACAAACAGACAAGTACAATTCAGTGCGATGACGAGCAGGGATTTGGCCATGAGGAAGGGAGCAAGGCAAACAAGGCTGCACAGATCTGGGGACACTTGAGCTGACGTGGGAGGATGCACAGAGGCTCACCAGGTGAGGAAGCAGGGAGATCGTCCTTGACGGAGGGAACAGCGCTATTGGTATCCTGGGAAGGTGAGAGGGCATGGAGTGTTTAGGCAGCAGCAAACAGCTACACGACTGGCTCATCAGGTGAGCGGCAGATGCTGAGATAAGATCTAGGAGGAACCTCACCTGCCGTGTCCAGGAGTATGTGCTTTAATCCTGCACACAGCAGGAATGTTAGGAGTTGAATTCAGTCTCCCAAAAAAGACATGTTGAAGTCCTAACCCCCAGTACTTCAGAACGTGACCTTATTTGGAAATAGGGTCTTATAGATGTGATGATGGATAGTTCAGTTATGATGAGGTCATGCTGGAGGTCAGGTAGGCCCTTAACTCAATGTGACTTAGAAGAAGGGAAGAGACATGGACGCCCAGGGAGAAGATGGCCAAATGCCAATGAAGGGAGGGAATGGAGTGATGCAGCTACAAGCCAAAGGGCGCCCAGGATTGCTGGAAACCACCAGAAGCGAGAAGAGACAAGAACAAGGATTCTTCTCTATGGAGAAAGCACAGCCCTGTCAACACCTTACCTTCAAGCTTCCCACCTCTGGAAGAACCGGGAGAGAATACATTGCTGTCACTTAAGCCACACAGTCTGGGGTATTTGTTACGACAGCCCTAAGAAACCAATGACAGGGAAGCTTTGGAAAAATCGCTTTGTCCCCAGCGTGGAGGTGTGATTGGGGGTAGCCCAGACCCAACGTGAGCAGTAAGGAAAATGGCCCCGAGGGAGGGAGAGGATACTGGAAGGAGACCTGGATAGTCACAGTGGGGACAGTGGGAAGGGAAAAGAAAGGGCCACCTGAGTAACACTTTATAGAAACCAAAGAAAGGCATCAGTAACAGACTATCCCTGAGCAACCGTAAGTCCCGACCACAGGGCTGGTCATTCCATTCTGATGAGAGTTAAGAGACAGAATTTTTAAATCATAATTCCCTCTGTGTCAACGCTCGGTCCCCTGAGCCGTCCATACTCACCGAACTGTCCAGTGGTAATTAAAGGACAGGAAAACAAACACCGCTGGTCCTCAAGACACTCCAGATTTAAAGACATTTAATTTAATTATATGAAATGTATTTTATGTCTCTTTAAATTAGTTAACCAGAACTTTCCACGATTCCGTAAAGCCTATCCTCCAACCATCTGGAACAAAAGGGATGTGTCTTGTGCTAGCTGGGCGGTGGCACACGCAGTGCTGCCCAGGGCACTGATTTGGTCCCATGCAAGAAGCGGGGCTGTGCAGGAAGGAAGCCAGCCCGTCCCCTCTGTATGCATATCGGTGAGCTGCCCTTTTCTCACCAGCAGAGGAGGGACAAAAATACCTGCCTCCTTATCTCACAGGATCTTTGGAGGTTGAAAGCAGAGTATGTGAAATCTCTGGTAAACCTTAGAGCAGCAGAGTGGTTATAGGGGGCAGGGCCGGGGCTCAGAAGCCAGCTTCTGGGATTAACTGCAGTAACAGAGTAATCATGTCGTATGTGTCTGTCGGGCAGAGAGGCCCCTCAGTGAGTGCAGATCAATGGTATTAAAAGTAGGCAAGTAGACAAAGATCTCACATAATCTAAGATCACTTCCGGGTGTGCAAAAAGAGAACGGAATCTAAGACCCTTTTTAACCCAGAGAAACCTAGAGTTTATTATCATCACAGAGAATGCCAAGATAAAGCAGTTTGGAGAATCTTACTTTGGAGTTTCTGATCCTCATGTAAATACTGAGTAATAAAAACGTAAAGACATAACAAAGGACAAGAAAAGGAAAACGAGAGTCACCACCATTAGTGTCAAATTTGTAACCTACCATGTCAAAGGATAAAGTGCTAGGGTCTGTGTCTTCCACTGGCTCCTTTGCCATATGATCTGCAAAAAAAAAAAAAAAAACAAAAACCCAAATGGAGAGTATCTGCTTTAATTAAAAAGCACAAATGAGTCCTCATGACACAAGCTACTTTGTAAGATTGGAGAAAACCTTACTTGCAATTATTAGTGGAGACAAAAGGAGAAACACATCCAGATTACATCAAGAAAGAGATTAAGAAAAAGATACTTTGTAAAAATAAAACCACCACATTTTAGAAGGGGTTGCTTGTAAATTTCTACAAATACTCAAAGAGTTACAAATAACCACAACTGGAGCAAGGCATGAGCTAACCAGGCTTCTGCATAATGAATTTGACATAACTTTGGGCAGGAATCGTTTAATTCTGAATCTATTTCTTTCCTGATTTCCTACTCTTCTGCAACTCATTTTTATTAAGCTTCTGGATGTGGCTTGTGTAGATTAATAAGGTCAACAGTATCTCACAGTATTTTTATCAAGCAAAAAGTGATCTGGATTTCTCAATATTTTGTTTCTCATGCTTTACTACTTGTTGCAGGCAAGGAATTTAATGAGGAAATACAGAAAAAGGCACAAGCCTCAGTCAGGGCCTAGATCACCTGAATTTGTACAAATTAGGAAAAAGCTCTCCCTCTCCAATATGCTTTACAAGACATCTGCCAGAAAGCTGTCTCACTAAATAGTCAAATCTGTTTAAGTGGGAGCCTCTAGATTTGTGCAGTGCACAACCTGCAAACCCTAGGTGGAAGCCATGAGCCAACTAAGATCCAACATTTACTTTTTACCCACATCCCCATCAAGTACATACTACATACTGTAGACTAGGCACTAGGTCCTGGGAATGCCTTTGGGGATCCAAAGCAGCATGGCAGGACAACTTATTGGGATAATAATTTGTGTTTGTTCTCCCTGCTGAGATCGTGTGTCCGGGATTTCCATATTTCCCTGTCCCACAGGTGTTGGCAATGCCCAAAGGAGAAGGTGCTTGAAGACAACATCTCATTGTTTTAGGACAGAATGCAGTCGCTGAAGAGAAGTGGGGACGAATGGAGAGAGATTTGCCAGCGCCCTCCAAGGAGCAGGGGATAGACATCCGTAGCTCCCAGGAGCAGGGACTGTCCCCCAGTCCCTGGCAGAGCACAAGACCACACTGGAGACAGCACGGAACAGGCTAAGCCCTGGGACCCAGGGTCCAACCCCAGCAAAGATATCTTTGTGCTTTGTGTCTGGCACAGACAAAGAAACAGAGGTCTGCTGGGTCTCAAAGGACTTCTCAGGCTTGGACAATGAGACGTCATTGCCCTGCCTGATGCACTAAAGGTTCAAGATCCTTTCCTAGTTTTCCCAACACCACGTGAGCCTCTCAGGTTCCCGTGCGACCCTAAGGAGGCAGGGAGGGGTCCAATCTGATTGAAATGGAATTTCCAGCCAACCCAGTGGAATACAGACTCAGATTGGGATATAAACTGATGGCAAGTAAATAAAAGACAAGTTGTGTTGCTAGCACCACCCTGAGCTACAGGTAGTTACACGCAGAGCCGACCGTGTTAAGGCAGTGGAATGACATGGCAACAGAGGAAGAGCACATTCCCAGCCTGGGGTGCGCTGTGGGGTGGGAGGGGGGGCTGCAGAAGCACCTTCAGAGGAATTGATATCCTAGCCTGGAGGATGAGTTGAAGACAGCCAGGAGGAGAGGTGGGGGAGGGAAAAGCATTCTAAGCAGAGGGAACAGCATAGGCAAAGTCCTCAAGATGACAGAGAACATGACACATTAATGTACAGTTCTACAACAGACCATGTATAGGATGGTGGCCCCCTAAGATTATAATACCCTATTTTTACTGTACCTTTTCTATGTTTAGATATGTTTGGATACACAAATCCCATTATGTTACAATTGCCTAGAGTATATTCAGTACTGTCACATGTTGTACAGGCCTATAGCCTAGGAGCAATAGGCTATGCCATATAGCCTAGGTGTGTAGGGGGCTATACCACCTAGGTTTATGCAAGTGCACTCTGTGATGTTTGCACACCGATGCAATCGCCTAACAACGCCTTTCTCTGAACATATCCCTGTCGTTAGTGATGCATGACCATACTTCATAGCCAGACACACCTCCATTCAGTTTTCTAGTTTTCCTTTCTGTCCTTACATTCTGGCTCTTGGTTGGGGAGGGGCAGTAGAAGCCACCATGAAGTAGTGTCAAGTCCCTTCTTCCCTCCTATTAAAGACTAGTCTCAAATATTTCACTAAAGTGTACCTGGATGACAACACCTTAAAATGTTATCCCACCAAGGGCCGGGCGCGGCGGCTCACGCCTGTAATCCTATCACTCTGGGAGGCCGAGGCGGGTGGATTGCTCGAGGTCAGGAGTTCGAAACCAGCCTGAGCGAGAGCAAGACCCCGTCTCTACTATAAATAGAAAGAAATTAATTGGCCAACTAATATATATAGAAAAAATTAGCCGGGCATGGTGGCACATGCCTGTAGTCCCAGCTACTTGGGAGGCTGAGGCAGGAGGATTGCTTGAGCCCAGGAGTTTGAGGTTGCTGTGAGCTGGGCTGACGCCACGGCACCCACTCTAGCCTGTGCAACAAAGCGAGAATCTGTCTCAAAAAAAAAAAAAAAATTAAAAAAAAAATGTTATCCCACCAGGGATGTGGCATGTTAACAGGTATCAGGACTTGGAATTTCAGGTAAATGGGCTGCCAGAGATGTGGAGTGCTGGGGCGGGGAGGGGTGAGGCTGGCACTTTCTAAATGCCCCCGACAGCATCCTGTGCAGACGCTACCTGCTGTGTCTATGACAAGCCCATCTTGCTTCCTACAGAAAAATGAGTATGAGAGGAAGGAAAAAAGAAAAAGACATAAAAGAGGAGGAAATTGCAGGAGAGAGCTGAGAACGGCAGAATCACACCAAAAGCAGCAGTGAGGACACAAACAGGGCGGTTAAAAGGAACTCAGCACTCCGAAAAGCAGCCTGGCCTTGATCAGTGTAGTGCCGTGACCTTGGAGGAGTGAAGGGGGCTTGCTAGGTCTGGGGCAATCCCTCCCCAACGCCAGGCGTCCCAGGTCTCTGGTTCCCACACTCAGCTAACGCCTGGGTGGCTGGATGAATTTCTACCCACCTCAGACTCTCCCACCGAGTTCTATGATATAACTGGCACGTCCTGGGGGGCCATGAGGCTAACAGGAAGATACAGGCAGAAGACAGCAAAGGCCTGGAGGCCAAAGTCTCGCTTTGGTCTGACATCTCTGAGAATAAATGGAATTTAAGGAGGGAAGAATGTAGAATTTAGTTTGTTTGTTTTCTGAAGCACAACAATGAAGTGAGAGTGTTTAGAACTAGTATTGGAGGAATTTTCAGGTCTTTTATTATTTTCATTCTAGTGGTTCCGTGTTGGCCTTTGCCTTGTATCAAGCTGTGGATTAAATTCTTCCGTGCCCCTCACTGCCAGGTGAGCTCAGAGACCCAGGCACACTGCAGCCCTGTACGCTGGATCTGCCACTGCGCCTTAGCCCTGGCATTTGTTTCCAATCCTGCCAAGCTGCTTTTGTTCTCACAGGCCCGGATTTTTGTGTGCCAAGGAAGTTATGTGGAGGAGGGCTGATCCTGGTTATTTGAGACTGATCTAGAAGTAGAAAGTTGTCCCAAAGTCTTTCTCAGAGCCCTTGGAGTTGCATGTTTACAATCCACACTAAGTACAAAATCAAACAGTTTATTTAGAAGCTTTAAAATGTTTGTTTTTACAAGTCCCAGGGACAGGCAGGCCGAGCCCCCAGGCCAGGCCCTGATATCTGATGGGGGGAGAGGCACAAAGGATCCCCAAACAGAAGGGGGGCCATGTGAGCTCAGAGGAGCAAGCCCAGTGGCATCTCCAGGGCAGGTGGGGGCCCTTGCCCTGCTCCTGGCTGCCACCCTCATGTCCTGGGCTGTGCTTTTCTCCCAGAGCTGCCTTCACTACCCTGGATCGGTGATGCTACCCCAAATTAGCTGGAAACTGACTAATAGGCATCTCTCTGGTAGCAGGTAGAATGATATTTAATTCCTAGGAGCATCTTCTAGAGAGTTCCACAAAAGGCATGAGATTAACCTGGTGGACTGACGCAGCAGGGGCCCTGCCCAGGGCAATTGGCCTGGCTCTCAGAGTCCTCAGGTGAAAGCACCATTACTTGGTTTGGGTGGGCCCTAAGTCCCTAACCTGTAATATTAGCAGGTGAACAGAGAGTCTCTATGTCTCCTTCCTGAGACATAGAGTCCATGAGCAGAGAGTAGTAGTAGTCATAGAGGTCAAAGAGCATCTCCAGGCTGAAAGTTCATGGCACTTTGACCTTAACACATTGACTGCCACACTAGGAAAAAAAAAACATTACCTGGGGCCAAGATATTTTATTAAAACAAAACAATCCTTTCTAATCTGTTATTTTCTATTGTTTTTCCATGTGAGAGTTATATGCAACCCAATCCAAATTTTTAGAATTAAATTGTCAATATTAATTGTAACAATAAAAACATCAACAAGATTTTCATGAACCAACTGCAGAGTTTTGCTTCACAAGGCCCCAGGCTCAAAACTAGCCTGAGTTAAATACAACTCCCATGGCAGTCAGCGTGTTAAATAACAGCTAGACCTCCTGCTTCCCTGGTGTCTGCTCTGTGCTGTATGGTTAAGACGCAGTCTCGGTCAAGCCTGACACTAACCCTGAGAAAGTTATTAAGCACCCCCCCCCTTTTTTTTTTACATATTGAGTGCTCAAGCTCACAGGGTCAAGCGAAAAGGCCTGGGAGTTTCTGGCTCCAGAATCTGTCTGTTTTCCAGACCATCAAGTTCTAGAAGTGGCTCATGCACTGACCACCTGACAGACTTTCTTAGGGGGTATCTCTGTGTCCAAATCTCCCCCCTGTTTATATGGGCACCAGCCACTGGGTTAGCACCTACTCATCACACTAATTGATTCACTTTGATTCAATTATCTCCGTAAAGACACTGTCTCCAAATCAAGTCACTTTCTGGGG